TCTTAATGGTAGTCTGGACCCAGGATATTTCAGATACTTGGGTCCAGGCGGATATATCCAGGGTTTACCTAATAGTTTCGAAAGCAGCCTGCTTCAGTCCTTCAGGCTCGGGGGACTTGGTCTTCGACGGAAGCTCCTTTATGTTCAATAACCAGGGTGCTACCTGAGAACACTCAGCGGATGCGGACCTGATTCTGGCCTGTTTGCCGTCCACATTGCGGGCGTGGAAAATTGTAAGGCAGGCTACTGCAGTCGGCAGTGTTTGCACCCCGGAGAATGGTCTCTAACCTGTTGTGTGTGTGTGTGTGTGTGTGTGTGTGTGTTTTTTTTTTTTTAAAGCCCACTATTGCAGGTTGGGGACACTGACAAGACCTCCTGGAATCCAGGTTTAAACTGGACAGACTTGTGACCAGGACTAAAAATCCATAGTGGATGCTCTGGTGACATTGTGGGACAAGTTCACCCTGATTTACAGGTTTTCCCATCTGCATATCCTCTTTTTTGGCTAATCTGCATGATTGAGATGAAGGGTGTTCAACTGATTCTCATCGTAATGAACTAGCACAGAAGGACATGGTAGTTGGATGTCCTCGGGTTCCTGTCAGCCTGCTGGCTCTTTGTGGGCTTTTCCAGATCGTGCGGACCTTCTGTCCCAAAGGCCTGTCCACAGTTTCTGCTTCTTGGTGGGTTTGATGGACTGGCTCTTGAAACCCATGTCCTAAAAGACATGGGCCCGTTGGATTCAGTTATTTTTACCCTGCTAAAGGCCCTGAAGTAAACATCTCAAAGTCTTCCATTGCACTTGGAGGGATATTTTGCCTGGTGTAAAGACAGGAAGGTCAATCCTAGAAAGTGCTCTATGTATCATATCTTGCCTTTTCTCCAATCTGGTCTGGATCAAGCTTTGACTTTAATCACCATTTATAGGGCAAATTTCTGCCTTGTCTATTCTTCTACAGAGGTCACTTGCTACAGTTTTAAGGCTTGATCCATTTGGTATCTGTTTACCCAATGCAGACTCATTGTTTATATTTTACCGAAATGGGTGTTATTTTATGTCTACCCGAAAATGAATTTGTGTATTTTACCTGAAAATTTAGATTTGTAAAAATCAGTAGTTCAAATTTTACAGTGTGATATTTAAATATCAATGTGATATGTTAATCCACACGTATACATGAGTAAATTCACAGTTATATCTGCACATAAACCGACAGTGACACAAGTTGTGCACATGCGGTTGGGGAGGGGTTACAGTTTACATCTTAATTTTTAATGAACCCACAATGCATGGCATCAACATAGTGTATCATGCACCTGTTCTTCAATGCATCCCAACACATAGGTGTAAATACACCTGCGTTGTGGAGCAATACATTTGGCCAAACTTCTAGGTCACAAACGTTTCTTGATTAGTTGAAACTCTCTAAGGGCCCATAGAAAAGGAACAGAATGCATAGGTGCAAATTAAACCATTTTGGGTGGAAACAGTTTAACCTTCTGTTGTATATTTAAACTGTGATGTACTCAGATTTGCCCTGATCACATTTCCCAGTCTCCACGTACATTTCTGGTGGTAATGGAAGTGGGGGATTGAACAGTATTTTACTGGGAAAGAAAAGATCCAATCTTGTTATCTGCAGGTTTGGCTATCTGCAGGTTTGGCAAACCTTTCCTTTGCTGTGATGTCTCTGCTTGGCTTTTATTTTGATGTCCGCAGTACCCTGGGTTTTGCAATCAAAAGAAAGACAAACCGTTAAGTCATCATTTATCTTATCAGTCTGTTGCCTTTTCATAGTTGCAGTCTTTCCTTACTATTCACTTTTCACACAACAACTTTTTCTTTTTTTCCTGACCACCTACTTTAGAATATTTCTTAATATTACCTGTTATTAGTCTTTCACAATGATCTGTATGCTCTGCTTTGATCTGTTTCACAATACATTAGTATTTAGTATCAGTCTATAAGAGTGGGCTGATGATCTCAGTGTTGGGATAATGGAATGCTAAACTATCATGAAAAGTTTTCACTGAGCACTAGTTATAGATATTATATGCTATGAACTACATGTTATCGAATAACCTTTCTTCTTAATATTGCTTGGCACATCCCAGCTGCATTGAAGGATGTGGAGACATGTCTTGTGTCTTATCAGTGGTTGCTCTTAGTACCACCCAGTTGACAGGTACGCAATACCACACTTCCACATTTTGTGTCTCCCATGTCTGTAGAACTGAGAATCTAAATATGTTTTGTCACTGTTTAGAGTTCGAGTAATTGATGTATGATTCAATATTTTCTTTCTTGTCCATTGAGGGACACAGGAATTCATAGAATTTTTAGACTGTCATGTTACACTGCTGTCTACTGGAGAAATGGACACTGGCAACAAAAAAAAGCCATTAGTCACTGTGCCAATGATGAGATCTGGAAACCCTGTCACCCCCCTCATTTTGTTGACATTCGCCACTTCTAGCCATAATTAAATCAGCCTACTGATTTTTAAATATATTGTTTTTAGAGCGTCTTTAAAAAGTCCTTCAATTGAACCTTTCCTGCCATCTTAAAACAGAACAATCATTAGCATAACACCATAAATCTATCATACATTTTTATCCAGGTTTGGGTCCTGAAACTCTTAATGGCGTGTCGTAAAAGCACTTTGTGAGGGCTGGTCCACTAGCTCGGTAATTGGCAGTTTGTTTGTTTTTTTTTTTCTTCCAACTTGTTCACTTGTTTTTGTATACTAAGGGATATTCACCACATGTTGGATCTCATTTTATATTTGCATCTAGCAATTCTGCTAATAATTCACCATATTTGTATTTGCTTTCCTTCAGCAATGTAATTTTTATGAAATCTGTGGATATCAAGGACATCCAAAAGTTCAAGTAAATCTAGTTTTGCTTGTGGCCCCGACTTACAATCGCTCTTTTGCACATCATGTATTCACCAAAGGGTTAGTCCTGGTATTAGCCCTGCCACACTCTGGTGCCATCCCATTTGTGGGATTCTTAGATGACCTCTTGTTGCAGGAACAGTCTGTGCAGGCTTCTGTTGGAAACATGGCCTTGACTACTAGCTATTACAGTGGTTCGATTTTGAACCTTCAAATATCATTGGTGGAACCAATTCATCATTTGGAGTTATTGGGTTTAGGCCCGGGTATAGCTCGGATCAGAGTGTTTTTCCACAGGACAACATTAGATCTAGCAGTCTGAGATTCAAGCTTTCTAGTGCAGGAGTCACCTGATTGTCCATTTTTGCATGAGAATCCTGAACCTGGTCGTAGTCCCCTTTTGAGTTCATGTGCCCATTTTTGCATCTACTTTGCCATATTCTTTAGTCATGACACAAGTAAGTCAGGTTCATGAATGAATCAATTTAATTTGTTTGACACCTAGGACCAATTTGTCCCTGGCTTGCTGGCTAAGAAAGTCTCTGAAATGGAAAAAAATTATTCATTATTATTTTCTCAAAGATTATCGCAATATTTGCCAGCCTGTCAGGCTGGGGAAGAGGCCTGAGCGGTGTTGCTACAGGGGACTTGAACATCACCAGAGATGGTTGTGGCATCCAAAAGGGAGTAATCCAAAATCTTGTCTCAGCGAGACAGGTAGTTCAGAACCTGTCCTGGATGGAAAATCATTTGCTACTCTTTCCATTCAGGCATAGACAATTGGCACGTGGACTCCCTCGGCCAGCAGCCCCTAGACCCAGGGGTGTGTAACCTACTCCCGGTTGTGGTTTAGGAACTGTGTCGCAAGTGGTGGACGCCGAATGTGGAATTCCTGGTTCAACAGCAAACTCTACAGGTACTGGTATACTTTAGCAGAAGCAGTGGGTGCACTGGTGACTCAGTGGGATCACTGCACCGTGATATATGGTTTCCTTCCTTTGTCTGCTTTTCAGGATCGAGATAGTGGGGTTCAGTGTTCCTATTTGTTCCTGACTGGCTTAGACAGATGTGGTATGTTTCCCTGGTAAGACTCCTGGCAAACAGTCAATCGGCTCTGTCAGATCAAGATCTTCTGGTCCCTTTTTTGTTGCCAATGCCCATTTTTTTGCTGTTTTTCAAGCTGTGAACAAAAATACTTTTTTCTGGTACCCTGCGTGAGACAGCCCTTAGTTCCCATTGTAATGCTTCCATAAACATTTTGCATGTATTCTGTACCTTTTGTCAATAACTGAACACCACCTTATACAGACAATATGTGCACCATTAAAATGTAATTTTGTGATGGTCAGACAGCCTACTGTTGAACATAAAATGAAATTTCCTATTTAGATGCAAATAGAATATTTGTTCCATGTTATATATGGGTATGGGACTCTGTCCCTGAAGTCTGTAAAGGGAACAATTTAGTTATATTTTTGTGCCACAATGGCAAATTTCTTCAGCAGGTAGCAAATATGATTTAGCATTACATTTCCCACATTTTCCCCCCACTAAAGTGTGGTTCCAGAAGGCTACTGTTCCTAGATCTAGTTCCAGTAAGTAAGTTCCAGATTTCAAATAATTGCAAACATCCCATTAGAAACTTTTTTTATATATAGTTTAGGCAGCCCATAAGAGGAAATTACAGCAAAATGTTGCTTTTTAGAATTTAAATTTTTGAATGATGTTGCAATGAAATCACCCATGTATTTTAGTTAAATGTAGATACGAAATGTGGTATTGTATCATCTTATATGTCTGTAGTATGTAATATTAAAAAAATAAACGTATCTCTGTGGATACTCAAGTTTTCATCTGTAATGAGGTTTTTTTAATGGGTTGAAATGGTCACAAACTCCACATGGTGGAAAATGGTCAGATTTCTGATACTTACTATGAAATAGAAATTGGTGACTGATCAAAGTTGCCTGTCTAATCAGATGTACTATTAAGGCGGTTTCTTGACCAGACTCTGAACTCTAGCTATGATGGTGAGAATTCTATCTTAATCCAAAGGGGAACTATTAAATTACTAATGATGCATTCACTTTCTTCCTGCAGATTATGGAGGAAACAAATACACAGATTGCTTGGCCATCTAAACTGAAGATAGGAGCAAAGTCAAAGAAAGGTAATTCTTAATGCTTTTTTTCCCTGTATCAGTTTTGCCATCTTAAATAAAAAAAATTTATGAAGTCCACCTTAGTGACAAAAATTAAACTGAACTGGTTGTCTAAATGTTTTGAATTGCCACAGTGATTAAAGTGCCAACCTCTAGAGCTGCCTAAATTCACTGAGCAGGAGCTCCTGCTTGGCTTGAAGGCAGACGGTTTTCTTCTGGCCAGGCATTGCTGTCGGAGTGAGGAAAGTTCTCACCTAGTCTCTATCATATGACATGACAGAGCCACGGAGGAGTCTAGGACTTCCTCACCTCTGGTTGGTTGCAGCCTACCTGTCTTATACCCTTGATTGATTGCTAGATGGCGATCAGTGTGTTGCCGACCCATCAAAATTGTTGTAATCTGGCATGTATTGCAAAACGTAACAGTAAAAGTAACTGCAGCATGGCTATCCGGTCTTGTAAGTGTGTCTGTACAAGGAGTGGACAATATTGCATATCCTTTGGCAGATAAATACTTCATGTTTATCTTTCAAACTGTATAATTAGCTGTTTGCCAGAAGTTCAACTGTAACTGTGAAATTTTTTTTTTAAATTGGGTGACTAAATTTAAACATGAATTTGAAATTTAGGAATGTCCTTCCAAAAATTTCGATCAGTAAGGGGCTTGGTGATATTTGCACATGAATGCACAAAGTCCTCTTTTGACTAGCTGTGATCTTTCATGTAATTAAGAATTTATTCTGCTCCAAAAAGTTTTGATTTTGTATACTACTTTGTTGAGCAGCGATTTACAATTTGTTCTGCATTACATATTGTTTTAAATGACTGTTTATGCTGCAAAAGAAATTGTTGACCGGGCTACTTTTCCCTTGTGATAATCACAATAGATATGAGAACATGGAAACATGTTGGTTATAACTATGAAGTTTATGCTTTTTTTTTTTTGCTAGTCATCATAGTTTATGCACAGGAGAACAGTTTAGTTTCAGGATAGGATCCTGCTTGCCAGTTCTGCTCCAAGTACTTTTTCCATAGACACCTCATAACTTGTGCACCGATTCTCAAGAGCCTTACATCAGGAAGGTTTGGGAGTGAGACCAAAGTGCACCCACGCTCTACATGCTGAGAATTTTATATTTTCCAGTAAGTTTTTCTTTCTTACTGTTTGTTTTGCTTAAACCATATTTGACACCTACTGACAGTAGAGGCAGCCATGTAACATGAAACTTTATACCTTAGGCTGACCAATACACCTACAGGTTTTTGCTAGATGTGATGGATTTGAATGCTGGAAGTAACAAATGGGTAATGTGTTGTTTCAGCTGTGGCTGATAACAAGTATAAGGTCTGTTGGAGACAGATGAAAAGAGAACGCACGTCCCAATGCTAATGTGAGTTTGGGCTGACATGAATACATGATGGTTGGGTGATCTTTTACACTTTACACACATCGTGCAGCCAATTTTAGGTGTCAGTGTCTTAAAGGTGTACAGCAGTAAATATAGAAAACAATGCCTTCATTTCCGATTAGGAAACTTGGTCTACCTTTTTGTTGGTCATATGGGAACCCCTTGTGTTTTCCTGTTTGCCATGCCAGGAGCGGTATGAAAGTCTCCAGGCTTAATGCCATTTCTCACTTATTAAAAGTCTGACATATCATAGCATCTGTACTAAGTAATGTGGGACTATTCAGCAGGGCCACCTGCTATAAGCAAACTGCCTTAAAGTGTATTTCCACTTTTGCACCCAAATTGGGATAACTCATATTTTACGTTTGTTACATGTTCCCATTCACATAGCATTAGCTAAAAAAATGAAAATGTTTCATGCAGTCTAAATTGCTTTTACTTCGGTTTCTACTTGGCTCCTTAAGGGTTAAATGTTCTGCTTCTCTTTTGTAATGTTAGGAGGGTCTGCAAGGGGTTTGTGTTACCTTATCTGTGCTGGCTGGTTTCATTATAATATGTAAATTAGATTTGAACATTGCCTGTGCTAACAAATAGTTAAAGGATTAAAAGCCTGGCTCTTGCATTGTATGAGAGAAACACAATCCACACATTTCTGTCAAGTCTTTCTATAAGGACAGATCACTGTGAAAGTGTTCTGATAGACTTGGATTCAGCCATTTTGCCTGCTGCAACAAAACATCTAAAAAGTAAGAAATGTTTTTTTTTTTTTTTTTATAAAATGATTTTGGGGTATGCTGTGTAAGTGGTAAAACATAACAAATCTATAGAGGTGTTTTCTTAACTGACTGCAGAAGGGGAAATTAACTTTAAAAATGTTTAAATCTGATAATGCACCAAACAGAGAGGTGGTAACACAGCACAGATTTAGGAGGCAGACCACCCACCATGTGGGTAGCATTCTCCATGTGAAAATACCTAGAATTCAAGCTAAAGGCCAATTCCAGGTTGTCATAAAAAGCTGAAGTGTGTTACCCACCTCCCTGCATGATTGTCGCTGAAAATGAGTTTATTCTCACCTTAAAAACATCCCTAACTGCCTCTTTCTGGTCATGGTAAAAAGTTTTGAACAAACGAGCACGCTCCTAAGACTCCATTTCCCAGTCTTCAGTAAACAAATAGAGAAAAAAGCTAACTTCTGTTGGGTACTGGTGAACCCCGCACCAGACTACAGCGTTTGTATTTAATATGGCCTGGGCTCACAAGATGAGGTTGGATGATGAACGGTGTCATCCAACCTGTAAATGGGGTAGTACCGAATCTACAACCAGGACAGGAGGAGGAACACAGCTGCGTGTAGATAACTACATCTTGCCCTTCATTTTAGCCCACAGTTGGGGCAAATTCTTACACCCTTAAACAAAAATTGAGCTGGGCTGCAGTGTTTCCTGCTTAGCATTTTTTAGTTCATGGATAGCTTTCAGTTGATGCGTGGAATTGCTCTTATAACAAGGAACTTCAACAATGGGCTCTCCTCAGATACATTTCTGGTTTGCCCCTTTCCTCCTGCTACGGATTTTGTTTACTGCTATGAAAACACCCACCTTAACCTGCTGTTAAATATTGTGATAGCTTAAAGAGAAACCCCAGGATTTTAACTAGTTAACCCTTGCTGTAGAGCTACCCCTACACTGCAAGGGTTAACTGCTAGTTTCGGTCTAGGGGCGCGAACAAAAAATATACTTGCCTGATACTCAGTCATGCATGGCTGCTAGCCCTGTCCCCACAACCTTTTCTCCCTCGGGCTCCAGGGTCTAAGCCCGGCTGATGTCATCACATCTATGCACGGTCCGTTCACTTGCATTAGATGTGAGGATGCCGAGGGACATACAGCCAGAGCTGAGGGAGAGCAAGGCGAGCGCTCACTGCCACACGATCATAGATCAGGTGAATGTATCTTCTTTATTCCATTCCTAGACCAGAATGAACTGGTAACCCTAGTGTGGGGGTAGGCCCACTGCAAGGGTTAACTTTTTTTTTTTTTTTTTTTTTAAATCCTGGAGATTTGTTTTAAGCTTTAAATGGGGAAAAATACATCCCTGCTTTTCAAGCAGGTTTTTTTGTGGACTGTCTTCAGTTTAATTTGTAAAGCACAAATTGCCCACTACTGTTATTTTCAAAATACCTGACATGGGTGCTAATTTATGACTACCATGCATACACAACTATGGTAACATGGTAGAAAATTACAATGATTGAAGGATAATTACACCGTATTACAATGAACCTGACAGTATTAGCATGCATAAAAACCTCATACTGACATTTTAGTACAGTATGAACCTAAATTAATTTCACATGCAAGGTCCAAGTAAAGACTGACTGGAACTGCAACCAGATTGTTTTCTTTAGCCATTACGGATTCACTGGATTGCTGTAGTCTTTTATAATGACTTGCAGGCGACCCTCTGTAATGTGTTTCTGCATATTTGTGTGACTTGCTAGCCCTTAAATTTGACAGCGTAGCTGTAATATAACCTCAAAGTCCCTTTATTGCCTCTTTAGAGCATAGTATGACATTTTCTCACCTCAACTGGCTGCGGTATGATTGCTGTGCATGTATACTTAGCACAAATGGTGTTTGGCTTCCACATGCTGTTTTTAAGTCAAAGAATTTGACAAGTGAACTAACAGACTTCATGCTTACTGGATGCTTTTCTCTTCCTATTGGCTATGAATTCTAAAAACCCAGAATTATTCCTTGTGATGTTTATTGCTTTTCCTGGATGTTTTTGCCACTAGTATTTGTCCAGGAGTATAATCTATAAATGTCAGCTTGGTAATAATAGACAATTAGACTAGTGGGGGATCACCTGTCTGTATCCTAAATACCGTGCTTATGAATGACGGGTGCTCAGCCATTTTATATATAGCAGAAAAAAAATTGAGAAAATGAATGTTTAGAAACACCACCTTAGGTAATAACTTGAAAGCTGAATAGATCAAATCACCTTTATTTCATTTCAAAAACCTTTATTACCTTTAAAAACTAGTCAGCCAATACATGACGACTGTCTGTGAAATGAGACACACCATCCTATAGCTATTACCAGGTGATTGAATGCAGCACGCATTACTATGCTACAAATAATGTAGTGTTTTCACAAGGTGTGTCAGTCTCCTAAAAATCTCCATCTTTTATCTGCTTGAATAAAATGTATTCGGGATAAGGGTAATATTTGGCCAATGCTTTGTTCTGTAGTCAATAATTCATAATTGGCATAATGGTGTATAGTGTCTTAAGGGATGGGCTGTTACTAATACAGCAATCCTGTTCTTTCATTCTCTCATACTGCACTAGAAACATGGCCTGAATAATCCAATTGCCGTGGAGAATAATAGCAGTGCTTTTTTTCAGGACATTTAAAGTGTACCAGATATTTTCAGTGGAATTTCCATTAAATAGGTGTCCTCAGGTCACAACATTTTTCTATAGTTTGGCTGTCTAACAGGATCCGTAACACAGGTCAGTGTGACTAAGAAAATAATTTTAAAATGTATTGTTAGCATTTAATTTCTGATTAGAGGCAGCAGAACACTTCT